AAATAAAGTCTTTTTTTAGCTTTAGTCATTCTAAAATTTCATTTTAGAAATGTATTTGTATTTATATTATAAACAAATGATTCAGCCATTAATTGGGCTTTTTAAAAAAAACTTTAAATAATATCCAAGTATACAATTAGTAAATAGGAGATATATCATTTAAAAATTGGTAATTTATGAAGTTTAGAATCAAAAGTTTGTGTATACTATTACGTGAACAAGCTATTTTAATAGAAGCTTCCTTATTCTATTCCTATATATTGAGGAATATAGGTAGGAAATACTAGAGCCTGGATTTGAACTCAATCTGTCTGATGACAGACACGATGACAACCAAAAATAAGTCTTTGAAAGATCAATTCAGTTCTTTACGGTAAATATTACTCAAAATTTTTTATACAAGAGTGCATTCATTTTTTCTTAAATTTAATTTATAGTAAAATAGTAATAGTTATATAGTTATATATAACCATGTAAATGTTTTTTCAAATTATTAAAAGTTTAATTTATTAAACAGAGTAAGTGTTAATAAATTATGCTTGATCGAAAAATTTATTAAGAGTACTTTTTGAAACAAGCAACTAAAGAAAATCTAAGAACATGTCAGTGTATCCATGTTCTTCTGGTTCTACATTTTGTATCTCTAGATTTCTAACTGTGGCTACAAATTATTGCTTGTTCTTCTTCCCCAGCTCCACTCATAGATATCAGAGAGTCTGCTGGAACTTGAGCAACTGATTGCTATGCAGAGTACATTTTTTTAAAGATTTTATTTATTTATTTGACAGAGAGAGCGAGAGAGCACAAGCAGGGGTAACAGTAGAGGGAGAGGGAGAAGCAGGCTCCCCGCCAAGCAGGGAGCCCGATGCGGGGCTCGATCCCAGGACCCTGAGATCATGACCTAAGCCGAAGGCAGACGCTTAGCCATCTGAGCCACCCAGGCACCCCTGCAGAGTACATTTTTAATCTCTTGGTTTATTCAATCTAAGAATTATTGCTAAATTGATGCTATGACTGTCTCAGTGCTGTAAAATTAATTACTTTGGCTTTAGTCTCCTAAAATGCATTTTGTATACACACACACCCCTAATACATATCTCTCTCTCTCTCTCTCTCTATATATATACACACACACACACACCTATATATACTGCATTTAATAATGCATTTATATATATATACATGAACACACATATACTGCATTTAATACTGCATTTAATAATGCCTTTTTATATATACACATAAACACACCTATATATACTGCATTTAATAATGCAGGTATATATATACAGATGTACCTTCCAGGTCTGTATGCTTTTCCTAAATCAGTTCTCTTGATTTTTACCTGCACTTCAGATCAGAGTTCATTTATATTCCAGCAGGGGTCAACTGTTGCTAGTGTTGCTTTTATTAGATATCTGGTAGTTGTGCACATTGGCTAGTTTTAGTAGATCTTTAGACTCGATTTCTTTCTTAACTAAATTTATCTTATAAAGCAGTCCAAACCTTGAATAATTTGAAATCAAACTTGAATATATTTTTCTTTTGTAAATTTATTTTCACTTGTCCCCACTAACAAAGGAATTGAGAAACTAAAGGCAATCAGTTGAACAAAAACAGATTGTCAAAATTCAGGTTGAGACTTCAGAAAAAAAGATTCTATGTTGAGACTTCAGAAAAAAATAAAAGATGAAAGTAGATGCATTGTTTTATGTGTTAAATTGAACAAGAGCACCAGGCTTTTGAAACTCACTTTTTCTGATTGATTCAAGAGAAAAATTAGATAAAATTTCTTGTGGTTTTCATCTCACATTGACTAATATGGGAAAAGAGTTTCTCCTTGATGTTTTTGCCAAAAAAATCCTAATTCTAATAATAAAGCAAACACTTGTTTATCTAAGAATTTTAAGCTGTTTTAACACTGTATTCCTCAAGAAAATAAAGTGCTATGTTGGTTTGACTCGGACAATGTGTTATAGCAAAGAAATATGAAGTCTATAGTGAAAAAGGCAGTTTTCATTCACTGGATTGAAAATCAAGACATGGATGGCAGCTTTGACTCTACTGCTAATAAGCTGTGAGAGCCTGGGCAAGTGAATTTCCATTTCTGTATTTTTTTAGGGAGGAGTTACTGAGCTCTTTTGAGAATCTGGTAAAAATGCACAAATATATAAATATATACAAATTTACGTAGTATTTCAGGGAGTATTCAGATTCTTGGAGCTGGATAATTTACTGGTATATCATCTGTGATCTGCTTATACATAAGGTCAAAAACCCAAGTGATGCATCATAAACTAATCTTTTATGTTTTACCAAGGTTCACTGGATCTTTTAACCTACATTGACTACAATAAGGTTAATTTTCCATACTAATACAACACTCAAATTAGCCTTTTAAAAATTACACTGTAAAAAAACGAACATGCATAAGTCAAAATTAAGGGCATCATAAGCAAATAACCTTTGGTAGTTTTTCTTGGAAAATTATATCTTAAGCATGTTCCTCTAGATTATTTAAGATGTTTGGCATATTAAAGCAATTTATATCTAACCCAGTAAAATTTATAGCACATATGTTCAATAGAAGAAAATAGTTGCTAAATAAAGGAACCTCTCACTCTGTGGAAACAGTCTATTAAAATTCATAACTTACTTGTCTACGAACTTTTATAAATTGATATCTGTGCCATAAGAATATAATCTTTAATATTATAAGATTTGAAGTATATACATTTGGTTTACAGTATAGCCAATGTACTTTCAGTGTCTTACACCCTGCCTGACACAAAATAAGCATTTAAAAAATCGTGAGAGAAAGAATGATTTTGCATGAAAAATATTTCAGGTTTACGACACATGGTTTTATGCAACACATGGCAAAGTGGGTTCTGGTGAGAGCTGGTAATATCATTTTAACCATGTGACTAAGCAAATGATTCTAGTTGAATCTTGTGTTTTTTAATCTGTGTTACACACTGTTCCTGCCCTAGACACTGCTGGAAGTCTACTGCTTGCTTGCAGGCTCATACTCTCAATGACAGATGGTTTTTAATCTTTGCAATTTGGCTTCCAGAGTAGGTGTATACTGCTAACTCATGTATTTTCTGCAACATGTAGAAAATGACTCTGGTGGCCATGCTCTGTAAGGAATCAGATACTTTCTGGGCTCTGTAGCTATGGGAGAAAGGTTTTAAATGCTTTCTGGTGGGAAAAGCCACTTTTTGCTTAGAATTATTGTTGAAAAAAATATCCAACTGTGAAAAGCCACAGTTGTGTAAATCGCAAAGTAATTCCAGGACTTTTTGTTTGATCACCTCATGCCTAATACTCTGAAGGGCACACATACATATTAGCAGGAACATACAGTGTTGGTAATATTTCCTACTTTTTTGACATGAAAAATTAGAATTCTCCTTGAAAATGGGAAGAATCCTTCCTCAGCACCTAGTATATTCTAAATCTCCATTGTGGCACTTAACAATTTATATAGTAATATTTTATTTCCACATCTGTCTCTCTAACTCTTTCAACAAGAAACTATCTTTTCTCTTCTTATCCCTAAGACCTGGTCAAGAAAATAAGGTCCATGATAAATACTCAATTAATATTCATTGAGTAAATCACAGATAATAAATAAGTCCTCACATTGGAATGAGCCTGGACTGGAATAGACACTCCCTTGTCTATTTCAGCCAGGCAAAGATGGAGCTCAGAAGCCACTCAGGAAATTATGCTCTCTTATGCAGCATCTAGTCCTTGAAACCAAGGACTAAGGTTTTCTCAAACCCAATAAGCCCTCAAAAGATTTTCTTACGTGGATTTATGCCAGAACAATCCGGTCCATTAGTTGGTAAATAGGACCCCTTAATAACTTCAGAGGAACTATAAAATTCTATTCTCAATATAATGAAAGCTGCAGGGGATTGTGTATTCATTTATCTTGTAGTAGGACAACTTGAATCCTCAAACAACAGGGTGTTGCCATGTGAGCTTCCTCTGGAGAATTGAAACCCAAACTGTAAAGAGAGCAGAATGGTCTGACTGGTTATCAGAGCCACCAGAATCTGTAAAGCCTCCGTTCTTAATTGGGACCAGAAGATTCAGCTGGTAACAAAGTCTCCCTGCCTGTGTGTCTCTACATATGTGAAAGGATTATGCTACTTCACCTAGTATTTTGAGTTCTCATATTCTAAAATCATTATTTAATAACCTGAAATATAAGGTAATAAGTTGCTCTTTATCAAAGAATAGATACATGAAATAGAAGTGTATTAAAACAGAGTAAAAAGAAGAAAAGCAAAAAGAAAGGAATGGGGGAAAAGAGGGAGAAAGGGTGGGAGGAAAGAACAAAGCAAGCAAGGAAGGAACTATTAAAATATTTCATTGAGCTCCTCCACATCCCGGATGTTTTTGTATGTGCAGTATTTCAATGTCCTTCCTAGGTAAATAGCAAGGCTTTTCCTTTTTATTAGCCCTGTTGCAGCTGCTGTTGCTTACAAAGAGATTCACAAATCAAAATAGATTCAGTTAGCTTTTCAGTAATTCCAAAAGGTGGAGGAACATTGCCAGAGAAGGATAGCACTCCAGTATCCTAACAAGGAGTCTTGTTAGCAAAACAAAGTGTGAATTGCTCAGAGATAATTCCCTGCGGTTGGTAATTCCGCTGGGCTCCTCGGTGGCAGCACGAGCTATTTCTCCTCAATAGACCAATGCCACTGAACAAAATGTCAAAAGAAATGCAAAAAAAAAAAACTAGCTCTCTTGAAACATTTATTCTTCTAGATTTATCTTTAGGTCAGCATGATTCATACTTACTGCTTCTTAGCCTGGAGCACCTAGCACAACCAGGAATCGAGGAAGCTAGAGCACAGTGTGAATAATGAATGAGCTACATAAGCAGAAGTCTGTATACCCAATCAGTAGTGAAGGCAAGTGCAGAGTGGCAGGCCAGCATTTTCATGGATGATTTCTATTATTTTCTCTCTCAAGGGAAAACAGTAAAACGAGAACCAGCAAGAGCTTGAGGGACAAACGCCCGGATTGAGATTGGAAGACTGTTCATTTGCCTATTGCTTCAGTCCTCGAAATTGCGTTACAACTGCCTAATTCAGGTATATGGAAAAAACAGAAACTTTCATAGTTGATGCATCCCTCTATACCTATCGCATGATATGTGGCGGGGTGGGGGGTGGGGAAGCATTTGGGTAGAAGACTGAAGGACTGTATCTCTTACCTTAAAAAGTGTTTTATGATATCAAAGGAAATAGTATTTCTCGCATCTTTTGAAATTAGTATTAGTGCCCTTGAAGTGCTAGTTTACCTGGTGGGGCACTGGCCACTTATATAACATTCGTGCTTTCTCTAACTTTCATTTTTTACTTCATCAAATCTGAAGTTGTCATGGTTCATTATCTGTAGATGATCTTGAGCAGCCCTGCATTCTAAAAGAATATGCCGTGGCATCTGCCTCTGTGGTTTTGTGCCCTGCTGTACAGATGATATTTAAGCAAGAGGATTGGGTAAGGGGCTGAGAATGGATGCAAGATTTGTCCCAGGCTGATGTTTCTTTGTGCCATACTATGTCCTTCCTCTTCCACCTGTGCTTTATTCAGCAATGAAGTACATATATCACATTGTGACTATTACATATGTTAGAGGACGTAATTGGGGTTGTAAAGTATATGCTTGAATGTCTTAACTAATGAATTCCATCAAATTCAATGATCATTCTTAGACTCTTCATTAACCAATCAAATTGTTTCTTTGGTCTAAGTCATTTCTCACACACTTTCATAGGCATAAACACAATTCTATGAAGTAAATTGGAGTGATTAAATTATCATACTAAGCATTATTGGAGTCCCGTGTTACTGAAGTTTTGGATTCCTAAAGAATTGCTTTCACATTACTCTCATCATGTACAAGAGAAAGGATGTTAGAGTATAAGACTGTGTCTTCAGGACTTTATTGCACTATTTGCATCTTTACTCATTTTTCCTGAGGAAGTTGGTCACAGTAAGTTACCAATACTAAAATTACATAGAAGTAAACCAACTCTTATAAATGCAATGACTTATAACACAAGCCTATTGGACAGATTTATTTAATATCACAAGTCCTTCCCCTTTTCAGAATGAACTGTTTTAATACCACAAGTTTCTCCTCTCTCTCATGCAGTATGGTACTTCAAGGCAGGATCATAGTTTTATTGTTGAAACATGCTTCTTTACTAATTCTCATAATTTCTTTACATGAACTATTAAAGTGGTTCTGAAAATGCATAAATATCCAGAATCAAAAGTACTTTAGTTTCCTAGGAATTAATTGTCACAGTGCTAATGTATCATGTTATTTCAGTAACTTTATAATGAAGGACATGTGCTGATGCTGTGGCAGTATGGTTCTCACCATAGAATTCTTAAAATATTTCTATTTTATTTTCTTTAATGCCATCTATAAACAATTTTGTCTTCTATTCTGCAAATATTTTGAGAAACACCTGAAAATATAGCCTGAAGCCAACCTACAGAAACATTTATTTCTGGGTTTCATGCCAGACTTACTTAAATTAAAATCTTTGGGATCAGGCTCTAGAACCAACATTTTAAATATGTATATCAGATGACTCCAATGAACTCCAAAGGTTAAGAACCACTACTCTACAATTTGAGAGCAAGGAAACAGCTGAAAAGAGAGCATGATAAAACTATAGACATAGAATTGATATCAAAAATGAAAATACTGAAATTAAATTTTGATTTTGATTTTTTCCTACATATTTATATTTACTGAGATTGTACAAGGGATTTTAAACTGTTTATTTCCCCTTTAATATGAGCCTTAAATATATTGAAATTAAAAATTCAATATTAAGGATGGCAAGGATAAGAAGATCTATTAATTTAAAAGCTTCCCAAAGTTGCTAAATAATAAATGATCTGTACAATGGCAAAAGGTATTAAATCCATAATTTATACAATTATTATTTTCTCATTTGAATCTTTAGTCTTACAAAGCTTTCTAAATAACAAGTTATTCTTTCAACATTAGGTATGTCTAATAAGCACCACTTGGTTAGGAATTTCAACATGTACTTTTGTTATGGTTTCCACTGAGACAAGTCCCATGGGTGGTGAACTTTCAAAAGATAATTTACTGGTGCAAATAAGTAAAATCTTTTGTGTTAAGGGTTCCCCATTTATTCATAGGAGAACATTTCTATGTTGTCTAATTTTAGTAAGAGGATTTTCTCATCCTTTTATTTTTAGTGCAAACAAATTATACCTCGTTTGCCAACTTAATATGCCTACTTCAGAAGTAAGCATACAAGTAAGCGGGAATTAGGGACAAAGAATTGTCTTCTGAGCCATGAAAAGACAGAACTCGCATGGGATGAGAGCAGAAAGCAACATTAGATCCAATAGGAAAACTACAGATAATGTTTGAACAATAAAATTAATTCTGCCTTCCTACGTGGTAGAATCCACTGAGACAAGGATCTAAAAGAAATCTTTAGGTGAACTTATTTTATAAACATGTCCTAAAATGATTGGAATAATTTGTTTTCCAACTCCATAAGAATCCTTTTATAAATAAAAATGTTCTTGGTTTTCAGGTAGTTTTAATGATCACATTTGCAATTTAAGCAGGCACTAGCTTCAGTGGGACTGCACTTCAAAACCTTAATTTGTAAATTAAATATTCAGGACTCTAACATCACTTTCACATAAAAACAATGCTATAAATGACGTTAGATGTTCAGAGTCAATTTCTGAAATCCACAAAATCATAGTCAAATCATATGATCTGTAGAAATAGAGCTTTGAAGTGAAAAATAGTAGAAAATGGTACTATACGATTCCAAAACATTAAGCCAATTCAATAACATACTTTTGAAAATCGTGTTTACTTTGAGTAACAGCTCTAAAGGGAAGCAAATTTGACTATAAGTGAATGAGAAATCAAAAGAGAAGGTAAGGTTTTTCTAAAACACAGAGAAATTAGTGATGACAGGAGCTGTATTCTCCTGAGTAGAGGAAAAGGTGATGGACGGAAGGGAAGAGGTGTTGAGTAGAGCTAGAGCAGGAGGGGCAAAGTGGTCTCAAGTGTGGGTCGCTATTGGACTAGCATATTGGACTAGCTACTGAATAGAAAGGATAGTGATTCATGGCTATGTTGGTAACTCAGGTGTATTCAATGATTTTAAATGAATGCATACATATAGTAGTTATACATTAATTTAGAAAGCAGATGAACAGAGGAAATGTTTAAGCAGAGACAAAGAGCATGAATGTTTATTCAGTGAGCACCAAGGAATAGTGGGAAGAGAGAACTTGTGAGTCTCATGGACTTCTACCGATGGCTTTTTCTCTGAATTACTTGACCTCCACTCAAGGCTTTACTGAACTCCACTTTTTCTGTTCTTTTTTTTAGACTTACTTATTTTAGAGAGAGAGAGAGCAGGAGGTAGGAGCAGGGGGCGGGGGCATTGGGAGAGGGAGAGAGAATCTCCAGCAGACTCCATGCTGAGCATGTGGAGCCCAGTGCAGGGCTCTATCCCATAACCCTGAGATCACCACCTGAGCTGAAACCAAGGGTCGGATGCTCAACCAACCGTGCCACCCACATGCTGAAATACTTCTATTTTACTATTTCTCTTTATTTTTTTGTTAATTAAATTTGATGGTTTGAGGGAACAGGCAGTCACTGTACCCGGGGATAGAGGACCGGGAGTATGAATAATCCAGGGAATAAGGCCCAAATAGTGGTGTATTTATCTTATTTTTCCTCTATTCTTTGGATGTTAAGGTCTTAGCAGTCCCAGGTAGAGCCCCCTTTACTTCCATTTAACCAAAAGAACAAGTGTTAGAGGTGAAAAACAGAATATTTCCTCATGACTAAAATTCTCCATTCAAAAAAAATTTAATTTCAAAATAAAAGGCTGTGACGTATAGTACCTCTTGCTTTGATCTAAGCCTCACTACTAGGCTAATTTGCAGTATAAGAACAAAAAATCAGAAAACTATCCTGAAAAGGGGCCCATAATTCTCTATCAATTAAATTTTCAGAAAAAATGATTGTCTAAACAGAAAGTTTCTAGAATCTCTATTAATACTATTTAGGTTGAGGCATAAGAGAATTCATCATCTGGGTTCCTAAGATCCCTCTTCACTCTGGATATTCCACTAGGGGAAAAAATAGTTTATTTTCCATTGAAGAAAGTTGTTAAAGGATTCTTTAATTATAGGTAACCCCCCGCCCCCTTTTTCATTCCATTCTCAAGAAATAAGAACAAAGGATAAGATGGAGGGTTGATAATATCTGAAGGAGAGTCTTAGGACAGTCAATGCCTGTGTGAGTTATCTCAATCTCTATTTTGCATCTTTCAAAAACTGTGAAAACCTGAGCTTAGGGATGCCTGAGTGGCTCACCTGGTTAAGTGTCTGACTCTTGGTTTTGGTTCAGGTCATAATCTCAGGGTCCTGGGATGGAGCCCCATGTTGGGCTCCCCACTCAGCAGGGAGTCTGCTTGTCTCTCTCTCTGCCCCTCTGTCTGCTCACTCTCTCTCAAATAAATAAATAAACCTTAAAAAAAGAAACCTGAGCTTAATAAGACAACAATGATATCACTACCCAACTTTGTGTGTATTTCCCAAATGCTTTTCTCCCCATACCTTTGAAGCGATACTTCAAAACTGCTTGAATGGTGCTGTATCACCCGTTATCTTCATATATAAACTTGTTCCATGTTCCCTGTACTTAGGTTTCCAATTAATATGTCTTTGTCTTCTACTCTCCCTTGGCCCAACAAAACTTGACCATCATGGAGCCTGAGTTCACTCATTCATTTATTCAATTTATTTATTCAACAATGATTTTTGTGGGGAACCTGGGTGGCTCAGTCGGTTAAGCATCCGCCTTTGGCTCAGGTCATGATACCAGGGTCCTGTGATTGAACCCCGCATCGGGCTCCCTGCTCAGCGGGAAGCCTGCTTCTCCCTCTCCCACTCCCACAGCTTGTGTTCCCTCTCTCGCTGTATCTCTCTGTCAAATAAAATCTTAAAAAAAAAATGATATTTGTTAAGTACTTCATATGCCAGTCACTTTTCTA